ACTTACCTACAGTTTACCAACTGCAGATTTTATGGAAACACTCCAAACATGCAATTTAATGGAGTGTTGAGTTGGGAGCAGAATGAAAGAAATAGAGAATAGAGTTTAGATATTAAAAAGCTGTGCCTCATTTTAGGTTTGTCCACTAGGGTGTATAACGATGTTATCAGGGTGTGCAGAAAGAGACTCTTTCCTAAACACAGGAGGAAGATGGGGCTGCACAGTGGCTCAGTAGTTAGCCTTGCTGCCTCACAGCACCAGCAGCCTGGGTTCAATTCCACCCTTAGGCAACTGCCTGTGTGGAGTTTGCACATTCTCCCTTTGTCTGTGTGGATTTCATTCAGGTTCTCTGGTTTCCTTCCACAGCCCAAAGATGTGCAGGCTAGGTGGATTGGCCATGCTAAATTGCCAGTAGTATTCAGGGATGTGTAGATTAGATGGGTCTGGGTGGGATGGTCTGAGAGACAGTGCAGACTTCTTGGGTCGAAGGGCCTATTTCCACACTATAGGGATTCTAATAAAAAGAAAGGCTGCAAATGAAACCAGAATTTTTGCAGAAATATTCATCCTTTTGTCTATGAACTTGCCCAAATCCTCATCTCTCCTTTCATTATTGACATTCACATTTACCCTGAAGTAATGTTGTGCCTTCCCTTCATGGTTTTCTTCTTAAATATTATTTCACAATATGTGGTGTTGTTGGCTACGCTAGCAGTTATGGCCCTCCATAATTGCAGTTGAGAAGGCAGTGATAAGTTACTTTTGGAAAATGCTGTGGATGGAACCTGGGTGTGGTTGCAATGCATCTTTTGGGTGGTACGTACAGCTATGACTGAGCCTCGTTGGTGTGTGGCTGAATATGTCAGGTATGGATGAGATGCTAATGAGGTAGGCTGCATTATCTTGACTTTGTCGATCTTCTTGAGCATTGTTGGAGCTGCATCCATTCTGATAAATGCAAAGTATTCCATTACACTCCTTGTTGATAGTAAACAAGAATTTGGGACACAGGAGCTGAGTTACTTCCATCAGAGGTCTCAGCCTGTGATCTGCTCATATAGCCATTGTACTTACATAGAGGTTCCAGTTCAATTTCTGATCAATGACATATGCCTGGATGTTGATAGTGAGGGACTCAGCAATAGTTATGCTATTGGATATTAAGGGGAAATGATTAGATTCTCTTTTGTTGGAAATGGTTATTGCCTGGCATTTGTCTGGTATGAAATTTACTCACCATAAATCACTACCAGTAAATGCTCTCCACTTATCTCTTACCCTTATTCACATTTACTTTCCTATTCTTTCCCCAATTGCAGGATGATCGTGCAGAACACAAAGGAGGGACAGAATACTAGAATGTGACCCTCTAGTCATTTCACAACTGACAGCAGTGCAGTCCCCCCATTCTTGGACTGAGGAGAAGGAGATATGGGTGCCTCCCAGCTACCTATAGACAAAATTGAATATCAACAGCTACATGGCAAACAAAATTCATGCAGCCTGTTTTCATGTCAGGAGCAACTGAAATATGATTATGAGCATGACGATCAATTGAACTTTTTTTTTGTATTGACAGTTCTAATTCACAACTTTGATGTGAGTTTTCAAGTGTCTCACTGGAGATGGTCCAGGAGATCACTCTTTTTATAGCGACACCTTTAAAGGAGCATTGTGATTGTGTGACACTCACACTTTGGTGGAACTGGCAATTCAGATTGCTGGGTTTTCACCTGGTGATTTAGAAATCATATGTGAGCAAGAGCGGACAGAAAAGACAGAGACAGGAGTATAATGTCTGTATCATGCTCCACCCATAGCTCCTGATCATTGGGAGCTATTAATAAACTGGCTACATTTCAATGAACAAGCAGAGAATGTATAACATCCAGTACACATTCCAGCTGTAAAGTAGTTCCAGAGGGACAAAGGAGTCTGTCTCAGGCATGACTGTCAATGGGCCTTTGTGATAATGTCTTCAGCTTGCAATAAGTGACTACCTGGATGAATGCACGCAGCCCTCTTTGAATACCAGCTCAAACAGAATAAATGAAACTCTAGCCTTGCTTGCTCCTCATCCCACAGATTTGCAGCAAAGTTTTCTCTATTCAATGTTAGCAGGAAGGTGCAGCCAATCATGAGAGGGGTGATGATGGGAGAGAATATAGAAGTGAGTACTCTTCGTGAAGCACTTCTACTTCTCAGCCACTTCATCCCACCCTCAGTTAATATTTCATATCCAGCTTGGGTGTTAATGGCCCAATGTACAGGTGGAGTAGTCTTTGCTGGGTTCCTCAAAGGCTACAAAACCCAGAGCATGAAAATCTCAGCAGGCAGAGCAGGGATTGAATAGTTTGTTTCAAATACAGGACTTGTGAAATGCTAGATGGTAAGTGCCAAAAAGATTAAAGATTTGTAGATACACTGTAGTGAATGTTGGGTGTGCTGCACCATAGTGGTACATTGATATATTTCATATTTTATTTTTGAACAACTAATCTATTTTGTTTTGCCCACAGTCCCATGTTTGCCATTTCTGGATGTTGTCTAGCAAGGAGACATTTCACTTATGTTGACTATGACATCAAGTGACACCACAATGGGGTCTTGAAAAAGATTTGTTTACAAGACTGTTTAGTGTTAATGTTATTTCGGAGTAAGTGGTTTTTGCGTCATATAGTGAAACCTAAGCAAACTTCACATTGATGGTAGTACCCAGGGCTACTGCCTTGGCCAGGGAGGACGGACAGGTCAAGGAGGTGGGATGAGGCTAGTAAGTAGGAGATGGGGTGGGGCTTGAGGTGGGAGGAGTGGATAGGTGGGAGGAAGGACAGGTTAGGGAGGCGGGGATGAGCTGGGCTGGTTTTGGGATGCGGTTGGGGGAGGGGAGATTTTGAAGCTTGTGAAGTCCACATTGATAGCATTGGGCTGCAGGGTTCCCAAGTGAAATATGAGATCCTGTTCCTGACCGATCTGGACTGAGCTATCCCCTCCTGACCTCCCCACCTACACTCACCTTTACTGGCTCCAACCCCGCCTCTTTGAACTGTCTGCCTCCTCTCCACCTATCTTCTCCTTTATCCATCTTCTATCCGCCTCCCCCCTCTCCCTATTTATTTCAGAATCCCCTTCCCCTCCCCCATTTCTGAAGAAGGGTCTAGACTTGAAACGTCAGCTTTCCTGCTCCTCTGATGCTGCTTGGCCTGCTGTGTTCATCCAGCTCTACACCTTGTTATCTCAGATTCTCCAGCATCGGCAGTTCCCACTATCTCTGTGGCTTACTAATATTCTTTCACTTGCGGAATTAGCTCATGCCACAAAGCAGTTCTGAACTGTGTTATTTTAAAGTCATTAAAGGACAATGGTAATGTATTGGTCTGCCAGTGATTTATTGCCATTCCATTTTAAAACTTTCTATTGAAGTAGGAGGAAATAGAATATGACATTATCGACATGATTCATTTTTTCCAAGGAAAACATTATTAAGCTTTAAAATTCTCTCTGAAATAAAGCTACTTTGTGAATGAATTAGTTTGATAACATTAATTCTACCTAAATTTCAATCAAATTTATTTTATCTTTAAAGCAATGTAGTAAACTAGAGTCAACAGCTAGAGTAATGTGTCAGTATCAATTATCTTGTAAATGAATGTTATATTCTAAGTGTATGAACAAAGATCAATTCAATATTTTCAACCTTTATCTTCCCAAAAAGTTCCCAGCCCTGTCTTGGGCACACATTTTGAACCGCTATCGTTTTTCTGCAACATATATTGTACTTATGATTAAAGGAGACATCGACCATTCTTTTTCTCAAAGCAAATGTTAATTTCTGAAAAGGGTCTAGGCCCGAAACTTCAGCTTTCCTGCTCCTCTGATGCTGCTTGGCCTGCTGTGTTCATCCAGCTCTACACCTTGTTATCTCTTATGTTAAATTCAAGCAGCGGGTTTCTAAATCATAGCTGCAAACAATAAGCACTCGTGTCTTTGCTCTATTTCTGAACAGAACATGGGTTATTTTTGCACAAGTACCAGACTCAGGAAGTACAACGCATAATCCTACACCGAACATAATCACAAAATTACTAGTTGACTAAACGAATTGAAGTACCCAGCAATAAGAAGTAATGAAACAGTAGTACTGATTAATTATAGGGGAACGATCATCACTGTAATCTGTTTGCAGTCCAAAAGAAGCAACTAATTCAGAAACCATACACAGGTCCGTTTAAAGCTCAAATCTAATCTGAGCAGTATTCCCTTCAATTATGACATAATTTAATAGCGTTATTAAATTGGAAGCCTATCGATATTCTTACCAGTGGACTGACATGTTAGAGTGTTTTGCAAGATACTTCTTATCGAAGCGCTTAGCTTTTCAATTGGAAGTCATGATGTGTACAAAATAATATTTAAGAAAGTGCTAATACGTTTATGGTGCCCGATTCATTCAGGTGAATGTTTAATACGGCTTTGCTGCAATATGCCAATATTTATCTTTAACCACACCACATTGGGTAGGCGGAACAATGATCAGATGAAAATCCTGCATCAACAAGAAATTTTTTTTTTTCAAAATGCACTATCTGCAAATTTAAAAGTATGGTCCCGAATGTGAACACTTCCGGTCTCCCGAAAGGTATGACAACATTCTTTAAATGGTGCAAAATTGCATCCTTACAAAACAACGAACAGAGCTACACCTAGCACAGACCTCACTGACAGCAATATTCTGAATGGTTGAATGGATTGACACTAAAATGACGCTAAACCATCAAAATTAACAAACCATTAGCATGTTGAATAATTTCAATTTTGTCTGCACTTTCAGACCTTTACAGAGCAAGTGTCAGGGAGATTTGTACTGGAGTATCGGAATGGCAATTACCGAAGGGCCAGGTTACTTTAGCAGATTTCGGTTTGTGTTACTGCATGTGCTATGCGGTTTGCCTTTCCCACAGCTATTGCTACAGCGATTTGGCATTATGACTGTAGGTTACCTCCAGAGCTGTCCCAGCTGAAGGATGTGGATGATTGACTGTAGAAGCCAGATGCAGAAGGAACATGAAGATGCCTTGCTGCCTTTGCCGATATTCTTGGTCCTGGTCGTTGAAGGCTGACGTTGTGGAGATCGGGCGTCGGTCTCGCCGCCTCCCCCAACGCTGCTCAGTAACTTGCCATCCATGGGGCTGCTGCTTCGGCCGCCGGCTCCGTTGTTAGCGCCGAAATCGTGGATGAACCATCTGAAACTGAAGACCTGCACGGCGAGGGAGCCCAGCACCACGAAGAACAGAGTCAATCCGAACCACCAGTAACGGGAATGCAGGTAATAGTCCACGGCCAGCCACACGTCCGTGCCAATGTCGGAGAAGTAGACAGTGACCGCGGCCACGATCCACAGGCCGTCCCATAGAGTGTACCTCTGGTGGCGGGCGAAAGGCAGGCAGCGACCCCGGCACAGCCCCGTGCAACAGCGGGAAGACAGCTCCGCTGAGCCGGGCGCTGCGCTCACCCTTTCCCGTTCCTGCTCGTGCTCGTCCTCCTCCTGCTGCTGTTGCTGCTGCTGCTGTCCATGGTCCTGCTGCTGCTTCGAGCATGAGTGCTCCGAATTCTGCAAAGGGGTAAAAGCCACGTCGCTCTTCTTCTTCATCTTTAACAGCCCGTCCGACTTGGCAGCCATCAGACTGCCGCCCCCCCCCCCCCCCGCCCACCCCCTTCCTCCACTCCTTCTCTCGATCTTTCCCTCGTTTCCTCTCACTTCTTTCTCTCTCTGGTGCCGTCAATGAATAGGGCGACCTCCACTTCCGGTATGTGAAACTGGTTAGATAGCACTAAACTTCCGCTGCTAGACCTGCGTATTGCGAAGAAAGAGACTGTCATCGCTCTCGCCGAATGGGTATTCGCACAAACTTGAGTTCTGAGGAAAGCTACCCCGCCTGAATTCTTAACATGCTCTTCTCTCCACAACGTTGACAAACCTACTGTGAACATGCAACATTTTCTGCTTTTATTTCAAAATATTTCCAAATTTCACAGAAAAATGCAAGGAGAACTCATAAAATATGGCTATTTCACGTACTTTAATTTATTGAGATCTTTGTACAAAATGTTGCAAATACTTTTACCTTTGATCAGACAGTAGCTTCTGCCTGTAAACAGCGCTTATTAATGCAGCATCATCGAAAGCTATACAATCTTGCCAGACAACAAAATTATAATCGGTAGTACAAATAAAATAATCGTTAGTTTGACAGACAAAGTAACATTGTTATAGTAAGTATATGCCCCAGATTAGGAAGCTTGACAATATAAAAAAAAGGATAGATACTCGGCCAATAGATGTCGCTAGCATAAATAATACCTTTTTGAAGAAAGTGAATATCATTACAAGCACTCATGCTCGAACCCTTGAACTTGACATGAGATTCTTAAGAAGTGGTTAAAAACATTTAAAGATGGTTTAAATATATAAACAAAAATTTGGAGGAAGGGTCACCGGACCCGAAACGTTAACTCTGTTTTCTACTCCACAGATGCTGCCAGACCTGCTGAGCCTTTCCAGCAACTTTGTTTTAGTAAACAAAAATCAAGGTGGTTTAAATGCTGAAAATCTAAGACCAAAACAAGAGAAAAATGAAAGAAATACTCACCAGGTAAGTCAGCATTTGATGAAAGAACAGACTGTTGGAACTGGAATACATTACAAGTAAAGTGGCATTTGAAACAAAACAGAATAAGGGGAAGGGTAACACATATATGCAGACACAGAGATGGAAAATAAATTAATGAGCAGCAAAATATTTTACTGGAGAAATAGAGATAGTTGACTTGCATGGGTCTTATCCAGCATTCTCCAACATCTCAGGATTGAAGATTATTAGATCAACCATTATCTCATTGAAAGGTGAAGCAGATAGTGCTTGACTGGATAGCCTACTTGAAGCAGACCTGACAGGCTGGATGGCCTACTTCTGTTCCTACATCTTATGATCTCTGGGCATATTCCATGTGCAGTGAATATTTGCACCTTCCATCCATGGAGATTAGGATTGGCAAAACACCAGCTTCACCGATACCATCAAGGCTCATTTGGGACTCACTTTTAATGCACTTCAATAGTGCACTTTGGGCTCACCATCACTGAAAAATTGCAATTGTGCTGCCTGGTTGTTTTTCACTCGGGATTAGGCACCCATATCATGCATTCAACAGGGTGCATCTCAGGACTCCTACCACATTCTTTTAGTGCCTACTCATTTTGTGTCTACCTGGTTGCTCATGGCATATCTACCCTGGCTTGCCTTTAGCACAAATAAATGTCCAGACAGCTTGTCGTGTTTGGCAATGTTAGTCAGAAAGTTTGTCAGTCGGGAAAGATGTTGAGGTACCCTAAGTGAGCATATAGAATGTGCAGAGAGCGTGAAGGGTCAGTAATCTGGGAGGATGAGGTGGTGTGAACCAATGAGGGAAGATGATGTATGCAATACTGGAATAATAGACCATGAGCTTTGATGGAAGGTAGGCACAACAGTGTTAGAGTGAATGTGAGGGTAGCATAGAGAAGATAAGAACATAAGAGATAGGAAAAGTAGGCCATTCAATCCCTCAAGCTTGCCCTGCCATTCAACATGATCATGGCTGAACTACCCAGGCCTCAACTCCTCTACCTTCACAAAACCTTCCCAGCATTTTATTACTGTAAAGATAAGATACCTGATTAACTATTCTGGATATCAAAGACATGAAGGAATTAATTCCACACATTAATATATCTACTTTATCTGAGAAGATATATGTCTGAGGCCTGTTTGTGACTTGCACAGAATCTTCTAAGTCCCTGAACCATATGACATTGTCAAGGAAGTTGGGAGAAGTGGGGAGTTTCCTGCTGTTGAGAGCAATAAATCCTGTTTTACAACCAAGTGTTGAATATAAGATGAGATTTTCATTCATGAGTAGTGGCCTATTTTCATGACTTACCATGTATTAATATACACATTACTGCATCATCTTGCCTCATTGATATCCAGCTTCCCACTCTTCCATCCACCAGATAGAAACTAAATGGCAACAATTCCTGACAATAAAGTCAGAACAGTAATCTCACAACTTCTCCTTGCCACTTGCTCTTCCAGATTGCTATCGATCATCAACATCAGAAGCACGTTTCATGGCCAGCAATTGTATGGACCTCAAACCCCCATCCAGTGAGACTGCTAGGTCTCTGTTGGAAAAGTAGAAATGCCAATTACCCTCTATCCAACATATTCAGGGCAAGTAAAATGAACCATTCAGGGCAGCTGTGGGCTGTCAGTGCTTGGCCAGGTGCAGAGCTGGACTTTAAAGATGGTGCCAGCACCTGGAATTCTGGGAGGCCCCTGCAGTGTCCATTATTTTTACCTGTGGTGGATGGGAGAACATGATAAGTGAAGTACCATGTGGGTATGTTGAATTGGTAATTAAATGAGTTGGGAGAGAAAGCATAAGAAAATTTGCTGAGGCACATGAAAAGTACAACTCCAATAAATTCACCAAATGCTAGCCAATTTTTGGTATGATTCAGCTCAATGTGTCCATGCCAATCAGAAAATTATTTTAAGTCATTGTGTGCTTTTGCCAGTAATTAGTAATTTAATCTTCATTTTGCCTCCTGAATTTAGAGGAACTCTATGTGAGTAGCATGTATAATGCACTAGGTTAGGGAAAAACCATAACTGCCATGTCACTTGACAGGATCATGAGGTGGCCTCAAGGGAAAAGAATCAATGGTCATAGGGGGATTGAAGAGTGAAACCTAGAGCCCTTCAGAAAGCAGAAAAGCCATGGAGAGGAAGTTGTGTTTCATGGTGGGAACATATTTAAGGTGATATGTGAATGGTAGAAAATGATTTAAGTGGTTTGTAATCCTTGATCTAGCAATGCTTTTTATTATAATTGCAACCCCATGAATATATGGCTCATTTATTAAAATACATTTACACGTTTAATAAACAATAAATACATATTCATATGAATAACCATTAGTGAACATAAAAAACCTATACAATTTCCCAAATTACAAAGCTATAACTATGCTCGTTTCAGTCCATAAAACACACAAGATTCCAGCTAAATCTTGTGACTTGTAGTAGAATAGGTTGTGCTACCCAGAAACTGCAGAAGTGATTTGCAATATCTACCTCATCCAACATACAATCATAAACTGACAATGTTGGATGCAGGTCTTAAAGAAACACTGACATTATTCACTGAAATTAACGTGAAGCCTCTATGGTACTGATCACATATTCAGTTGCTTAGATACCTGGAAGAACCATTTCATTATAAAATAAATCAAAATTAAGGACTTTTTCCAATGTTTGAATCCAGAAAGAGCAAATTTTGTACAAATGCAAATTCATATTGTTCTTAAAAGTGAAACTGTTCCTATATTATTGAATAAACATTCTTATCGATAATAGACATGCAACAGCAAATGACATTTAGATTTGTATCATGGCTAAGATGTTTGATGACTGAAAGAAAAAAACATTCCATTTGTAAATTAGATTTTACGTTGTCATGGGTGTGATCTCTGGTTCTTTTTTTTTACCTATTTTGTAGGACCATTAGAAATAAAAATAACATCAATGTCTTGAATAATTGATTATGGCAACTCAAAAATAAATTACCCTTGCAGACAATTATTGGAAAAGGTAAGTTTATCACCTATTTTTCTAATTAGCCTGTTCAGAGATGTTATTACACACCTCTGGAACAAGTTTTCTTGAGCCCAGGCTTACCTAGCTCAAAGGTAGGGACACTACCATTGTGCCACGAGGACACTTTTACATAAGCTGTTCGATTGTTGGGTTGCCCACTCAGTTTTCAATTGAGGGTTAGATATATTTCAATCACCTGGCCACTAAAATGTTGGTTTGGAATGTGTGAGGTACAATTGGAAGTATTTAAACCATGTGTGACAGAAGAAATATAATTAATTCTGTTGGAGTGAAATCATCTTGGCAAGTAGCTCTTTGACAGCTCTCTTTACATACTGAAGTCTAAGGAAAAGAAAACTGGGTATCATATAAAACCAGCTGCTGATTCAAAGTTATGCAAGATGATTTTCATTTATGTTGTAGCCTTGGTTCATTGGTAGCATTTTTGCCTTATAATCTAAGTTTTGGGGCTAAATTGGATCACCTGGAAAGCACAAGTGGGGCATAAAACACATGCTATTGCATTGGTTGACTATTTGGATAGAAATGGTATATAGGAATATGGGAAAAAAATGAGATTGGCACCAGGTAACAGAACTGGTGCAGGTACAGTGGACCAAATGCCTCCTTCTGCACTATAATATTTCTGTGATATACTTGGGCCTATTTGATAAACAGCATGTCCACTACCACGATGGTAATGTGCAGCCATTGACAGTTGCACTGTTGAATAGCTGCAGACCTCATTAAAATACCCACAATTAAAGTTGTATGACTTAAAGAAGCTCATGGCTTTTAAATGAATGTTATATTGTGTGTCTTGAGCAGCTAGTGCTTGCTTGTAAACTGTAACTGAAAATACATGCTTATAAAAGTAGATAAAGATTTGCACCAGTTGAGTCCTTAAGCCAGTTTTTTTTAATAGTATAAGAAGTAATTACTGAACAAACAGTAAAATCAGCACTTTTTTATTGAACTG